GCGTCCCAGATCCTTCAAAGCAACTTGGACAAAATTCAACAGTGGCTTATTAAATGGAGAATAAAACCCAACGAAGCAAAATCAGTACACGTTGCGTTCACCACCAGGAAAGAGACCTGGCCACCTGTCCATCTGAACAACCACCACCTCTCACACGCAGAAGAAGCTAAATATCTTGGGATGCATCTTGACAGAAGGCTGACTTGGCACAAACATGTTTACACTAAAAGGAAACAACTAGGCCTAAAACTCACCAAACTATACTGGTTAATAGGAAGAACCTCCAAGCTGACACTTGACAACAAACTACTGGTTTACACTGAAGCCCATTTGGATGTATGGAATCCAACTGTAGGGAACGAGCTCAAACTCAAACATCGAAATACTAGAACGCTACCAGTCAAAGGTACTTCGCATGATAACCAACGCCCCCTGGTATGTGCCCAGCAATGTCATCCGGAATGACCTTGGTATGACTACAGTCAAAGAATAAATAAAACAACTTAGTGTTAAATATAGTAACAGACTTAACAAGCATCCAAACGCACTAGCAACAGACCGCATGAGCCATCCTATTCGGAACAGAAGACTTAAACGCTTCGCGCCAAATGATCTGCTGGGCAGATTCTAGGCATTATATTTAGTATATAAGCTAGATTAAGGTTATACATGTAAGTTAGATGTAAGTTCTACTCCTGCAAACACAACTAATCTGTACTGATTATTATACGAAAGGTGTCTACTAATGAGTAGCCTCCTACAAGCCAATATTATATGATTCCACCGTTTGCTTATTGTAACTTTTACAGATTGCAAAAAATAGGAGACAAAAAAAAAAGAAGAAACAGAATTCAACACATAAAAGTAACACACACAGAAGGCAATCGTATGAAAGAATATTTGTCAGGTAGCCTCCAAGTGAAATATGCAGTCCCCCCGGGGATCGGTCCTTGGCCCATTACTCTTCATCTTGTATATAAACGATATCCCACATCTAACACAAGGCAGATCAATAATGTATGCTGATGACACATCAACTGAATGTAGGAGAAGATATGAATGAGCTTCAAAATACGACATCAAATAATATAGGAGTGATAGAGCAATACTTTGAGACAAATAATTTATTTATAAATCCATCTAAAACTCACTGTCAACAGTGAAAACAACACAGCAAGCCACGAGCAAACCCTGGACGACATCAATAACCTCATCAAGATAGACAGGCGGCACAAAATTTGCCCCATACAAGGATGATGGGAGTATGGACACGAACCTACATGGTTTAAAAAATTTTAACCAGTGACAATAAAGGTTCTTTAAATTAACATCTAGAAACTTTTAAAAACTTTACAATACCAGGAAGCTGCTGTGATTTTGAAATGTTCGACTTTATGCGTACTGTGCATTATAGCATATAAGTGTATGTATTTTAAATCAAAACACCTATTGTGATGGTAGTTTCCAGTTCGTAATGATGTTCCCTCTGAAGATGATCAGTAACGACCGAAACATGTAAGGGAAATAAGTCAAAACTTATACGTCACATTGGACAGAGTGGTTTGTATTTATAATCTACAAATCATAATAAGGAACAGGGAAATATCAAATGTAAAATTTCCTGGGGGTAGTAATAGATAGTACCTTGAGCTGGGAATTATATATTGAAAAAACCTGCAGCAGAATTAGCCGTAACCTGTTCATAATTAACAGGCTATCTAAAATACTCGATTTAAATGAAAGATGAATGTTGTATTACGGTTCGATCTATCCTCATCTATCTTATGGAATAATGGTATGGGAACATAGTGCTAAGACCGTCACTAGAAGAATTTTTGTACTCCAAAAAAGGACAGTAAGATATATTGCAGGGCTAAAACATCTGAGATTGTGCACGGATAGCTTTAGAAATCTAAAGATACTAACAATATACTCGCTATATATACAAGAAACAATCCTATATGTAAAAAAAAAGTGTACATGCACAGTGAATGAACAAATACATACATACTGTACAGGCTACATGTTTCACTAATAGGGCACAAATAATAATACTACTTCTACAAGTAGTACCAGTGGATTAAAGGGAAATTCGTTTACATGGGATGAATACTATGCCACAGAAGCCCACACCAACATAACATTAATTTTCCTACAATAACAGCATGGTAGAGACACTCTGGGTTCATTATTCACATCACTGTGCATTCGGGCGGGGAAGGGACTGGTTCAGTTACCTGAGGTTATAACAACTTGGGCATAATATCAATGACCAAGACACTGCAGGCTCATGCTGTCAGAAACATTTTGCACACATCCAACTCTTCAAAATTCCCAAGGACCTAAAACTTACAAAACTCTATACTTCACAGTGCTTAATAATGTATATTAGCTGAAAGACTTGTCCTATATCGTTGTATCATGATCTACAGGATTAATAAAAGAATGAATGAATGGTCTTCCTGAAGACTGGCCTGGTTTACATCTAGGTATAGGCACCGAAATGGACGGACGACCAATCTGAAGATTTATAAGTATTAGAAATACTTAGATATGTGAGATATCTTGAATACATCTTGGATACATAGTGATATGATGCACCAGTTAATCTAACTGAGCTGTGTCGCTATCGTCTACAGCTACATTCTTCATTTAAAGGAGCAGGTAATGTCAGTCTGCACCCAAGACATTCTCTTCAGTTGAAGCATCGCCTCACTGCACATTATGACACAGCTCAGTTAGATTAACTGGTGCATCGTATCACTATGTATCCAAGATGTATTCAAGATATCTCACATATTTAAGTATTTCTAATACTTATAAACCTTCACATTCCCAAAAACCTCCAAACTCCCACACTTTATACAATATCCCCACATTCAAAACTGCATGATATATAAACATTGATATTCCTTACAACTATCCAACTTCTTTAACGCAGACAACCATTCCTATCAATCAAATTTCACAACTTCCTATGATTAACCAACTTACGGAAAATAAATTACACTCTCAAATAAAACAAAGTACCTTGCTCCCACACATCACTTCTTTTTCCTCCAGGCATTCTGGGCCACTTGTCTAAGCGTGTCTCATTTACATCGACTCCTAATAGGTTAGGTTGGGCGAGTTTACACCTCCACTGTCATGGGAAACTTACACCATCGTCACACACAGTTTTTGCGGCTGTCAAGAGATGAACACGAGAAGTCTTTCTGTGTTTTTGACAATATATCTTATAGTTTGCCTTATGTGGCTTTCGTCATGTAAAAGCGTAAGGTACCAGTTACCAACATACTGATCGATACTGATGTGCCAGCATAAACCTACCTTCACTGAAACGTACGTACGTCTGTAATATTATTCCAAAGGTGAAGCATAATAGATCATCGAAGGTCGCAGTGCGAGGGTCAGTTTTATGCCTCACCCCTCATACTATTACTCATACGTACGTCTGTAACAGTATGCGCGAAAACGTGGATTCTGTTCAAAACCACTGGGAGTGCCGCGCCATAGCTCAAGCGGTTAGTCGCTGGCGTCGCTGGCTTCCCACCGCGGCGGCCCGAGTTCGATCCCGGGTCTGGTCAAGTGGGATTTGTGGTGGACAAAGTGGCGCGGGGCAGGTTTTCTCCGCGTACTTCGGTTTCCCCTGCCAATCTTCATTCCACCAAATTCTCAATCATCATAATCACCTGGGGCAGGCTACAATAGGCCAATCAGTGGCTGCCGTGCCGAGCGGACCAAGTTGGACTCCAGCACCAACTAAGGGAATTAAAAAAATATAAGGCCACTGGCAAAGAATCCACTTAAAATCAAATACATTCCACCTTGATCAGCCGATTAAAACACACATTTTACACACGGACACAATTACCTCGCAAGTCAAGATATATCACAATATCAGACCAACCAGACCGTTAACATAAGATATACTGTGATCACTGTGATTGCGTCACACAAATGCGATTCACTATATTGCAATAGTCGTATTGTGATTGGTTCTATCTAGTTCAGTCCGACTGAGTAGAGATGGCAGATAATCCCATGTTTCCCCCTTCCCCTATGACAGTTACTTCTACTTGTCTGAGCGGGTCTGAGGGGTCTGAGGGTCTGAGCGTTCTGAGGCTGCAGAAGTGCGTCGCAAGATTATTGGTTAAAACACATTCATCACATCAGTTACATCCGACCGGCAATTTAACAATGGAATCTGCGCTGTTCGATGAGTAACATTATTTTTTGACGAATTCCTTGTTATTTAGGCCTTCAATCCACAGAAATTTCCACACATTCTCTCTTAACAGGTTAGCCTACTATTACTACTTAAATATGAGTCAATACTGATTCAGGGCCTAATGTTACATTTTACCAAATGAATCCAGTTCATCCAAGCCTGTCTTATTTTAATATTATCCCATCTGCACTTGTTCTATTTCCTTCCAGTGTTGCTACCAAAACGTTCTTTGCACTTCTCAGCTGGCATATGTGCCTCACCCATCCCATTCTAGTAATTTTACCTTCATTGTGAAGTTCGGTTTCAGCACTAAAATTAGTTTAGACTGTGCTTGGCCGCAATCATATTAAGCAAACTTTCCATGAAACACTGTCCTGAAATGCATGTTTACATAAAAATTATTTTGGGGTATTATATCATGGATACTGGTGTCAGAATTCCTAGAATGGGTTAACATTCAGAATATTTTGGTTTTGAAGCCAACCTCTGTCATGTACCAAGGTGGGTTTTTGCCAAAACTTCCTGATTCTTCCCTTCTCTTCATGTTGTTAATGGTAATTTACAATATGCATAATTAATGTCATTACTCACCATATTAGTGTGACAGATGGTGCTGCTTGCAGTTGCTGACAAGCTTCCCAGCATTTGGTGTAAACATGGACATGGCAATTAACACTGCACTCAAATATTTATCTGTCATCTGAAAGTGATTTTGGGATTTGTTCCTTTCAATTAGAGGACGTTTGTTCACAAATATATGCTGATGAAAATATAGGGAATAAATCCTCCTTCCAATGTTCTTCAAATTGGTGTACTCTGAGATTTTTAAACACAGTATTTCAGAAATTGGATCTGTTTCTGTTATGAATGTAAGAAATGAAAGGTCCCCACTTAATTCAGCCAATTACAAAGAACTAGTCTTCTTCACTAGGCCCACAGAAGCAGATTCAAATTCTGAAATGCTGTGTTTAAAAAAACTCAATAAGTCAATAATTCCTGAATAATATTCATGTTTACAAAAGTCTTGGTTAGCTCTGCTGAAATTGGTAACCTCTGCCCTAACCTAAACCTTCTACCTATAGGCAACACCCAACACAGCTAAACTGCTCGTACATGTGCCAAGACCTAAGTGGAATGTGAAAAATGTGACCTGTCTGGTAGGAAGGGCACACGGATAACCTAATAATTTGACGGCACAGTAATTAGTTTATTATGACCTTCTTTTACTGGGAGCTGATATTGACTATATCAAGGTCGTTAAATAACCAACTTAAAAAGATAAAAAGTACAAATTAATCCCACATCTTGTATGCCAGAAACTTATTCCTTTCCATAAAGACTCAACATCCTCTTTATATGCGGAAAATTTCCTCCTTTATTTCACAAACAATGTAATTACTTAAATGTTCCTATTAATTCTTGAGGACTCTGAAACATACATGTGGGTCCAAATGACATACTCATCCTCACCAACTTGCGAAATGTTATTTCCACACTTGATATACACCTAACACAATTTTGCGAACAGGATGCTCAAATACTTGGACATTATTCCCAGTTACCCAGCTTGTTATTGCCACTGCAAATGTTACAAAATTCCAAATATTTTGTTCTCTTCAAGTTAAACGTATTAACAGCTGTTAACTTTGAAATGAAACCATCTCCCAAAATTGTAACTGCGGTCAATTTTTTTAATTTTTCTATTGGTTGGATCTGTAAACAATACTGCTATGAAATCTGCCATTTTCTGGGATATAGCACTGTGCAGTCTGTATATGAGTTGACATTTCAGGGGAACATATCACCTCCAACTTCAGGATTGAAAATCAGCCAAGCAAGAAACCAGCGAGAGCAGGTGGCTACCTATACAGCAAGCAAGTCTGTCAAAATGTTGTGTTCCAGCATCAGTGACTTTTTTTATTGCTAGTGAGGTGGGACTAAGTATCTCATACTGTGATCACTTCTGGCCTATTGTACCAGCCCCAGATCAAAGGTGAGGGTGATTGTGGAGAAATTGGTGGAATGAAGATTGGCAGGGGAAACTGAAGTACTCAGAGAAAACCTGCCCCAGCACCACTTTGTCCACCAAAAATCCCACTTGACCAGACTCGGGATCTAACCTGGGCTGCCTCGGTGGGAAGCCAGCAACTAACCACTTGAGCTATGGCATGGACTGGCATCACTGGCTTAGTTCAAGTCTAGCACTCTCTTCTGGTACTCTTCCATGAGGTATGCCAGTAAACCATTCACAGATGCTCTGCTGAAAGTGAAGAACACAAATTCAACCACTTAAACTGAGCTAACTGGACTAATGTACCAAAATTAATCCACCATTCTGTGATTCAGATTGCAGCCTTCTGTCATATTATGTAGCCTGTAAGGTAGCTACCGACATGTCACGTTAGAGGAATTTACAACCTCTCTCTCATCTTCACATCTACCGGTAGTCTTGTGAGCATAGGCACAGATGGGGCTAAGACCGAATAAAATTTATACCCCTTCCTGGTGTCTATATTTAAGGACTGAGAGGTCATTTTATATTATTTAAATGTTCATATTTTTGGAATTTACTTTCTACATTACACAGTACCCTTCTCTTAGAAACTTTAGGTTCGTTTTGTATTAACAAGAATGTTTTTAAGAAAGGGGCTCCATCCATTCTCCTTATAATTATAATGCAAGAAAGGGAAACCATTATAAACGCCTGTGGCATGACCCTACAATGATGATAAACTAAAAAGAACTAAGCTCCATGGTCTGTAATACACGAGCAAACTATACTAACAATGATCATACAAGGCAAAAGTAAAATACACAATCTGTAAGTAAAATTTGAAGAATCATTATGGGGAGGGGAGAAACATATCTGAAGAAAAAGTATTACGAGAAATGCAGACAAATATATTACCACCGAACAGCTATGGGTGTTGCCATTGGAAGTAAAATCCTACAAGGCAAATCATAGTTCATTCATTCATTCATTCATTCATTCATTCCTTTATTTTCCATATATCCATACAGGTAAAAAACCTAGGATGTGGAAATAGTCCCTTTGATAATAGCAGGGGTGTATGGTACATGGATGTGGTGGAAGCATTGCTTCCCTATAGAAAAGCAACCAAAAACATTTCTGGCAATTTTTCAATTTTGAAAAAATATTTCATACTTCAAAATATTGATTAAGCTGAGGACATATATTACATATAATGAGAATATTGCAAGTTTTAATGTGTTACATAAACCATTTATCAGGATAGATCAGTTATTTTCTTCCAAAATGCAGGGAACTTTAAAATAAAACGCGCAAGGAAGCAACAGGTTGTTCGCTTCCACGCTCATTCTGGTTCACCTGGGACTGCAATGTTGCCATATATGAGGAGTCTGTTGCTTAGCTAAACGTTACGGAATGCTTCCAGCACTGTTGCCGGCCGTAAGGCATTGCAGTATGCAGTTGGAAGTCGGTGACCTTACAGTTACACAATTTTTCCTTGTGTGCTGAGACTTTGAAAATGCTGTTAGTAAAAAAGCTTGCTTACTAATTTTCAGAAGAAGGTGTTAGCGTGTTACTTATGCACAAGTCAGTTTAGTTATTATTCTGTATTTTTCTTGATACAGAATTTGTTTTGCTTTGCGTAATTATAACTTTGTGAATGTTTTTGTGATTGTTGTTAAGTTACAAATGGAAACATGACACTTTCATGTGATCACTGTGTGATTGAAAAACTTCTTCAAACACTGTTCAGTTCACTCAGTTATAATGAGAAACTTAAGATAATAGAAGAAGGTGCACCTAAGCCTAATCTAAAAATGAAATCTTGCACACGGCATTTCAGTACCAGTTTATATGAGGCTATTCCATGGTTGTGTGGGTGTGATAAACTAAAAAAATTATTCTGTTGGTCCTGTCTCTTGTTTTCTAAAGAAAAACATGTGTTTAACAGTGCTGGT